GTCCAGCTCCACCGCTCTTTCCCCTTCCTGCCTGGCAGATAGGTGAAAGCACAGCATGGTACCTGGGAAAGACATGGCCTAGGATAGGGATGGATTGAAGCTGTGGCTCTGCAGGGTCATCTGTCAATACTGGATGAAAACTGCTGACTATTCCCTTTGCCGCACGGTTCTCCCTGCTTCTTCTTGCTCACCAAGTAAGACCCCAGGCAGGGCCATCCTGGGCGGGGGGGTGGGAATTGGGGTGACCGCTCCAGGCCCCGCGCTTTGTGGTGCCTCACAAAGCAGTGCAGCAACGCTGTGCTACTGCTGGCTTCACATCTGACCACTCTGTACCCCACCCCCTGAATCCATCACTGAATCCGGCACATCCGACCGCTCACCACCCCACCCCACCACTGAATCTGCCGCCAGCTTCCTCACATCTGGGGGTAGGGCCCTGCACAGGCTGATTTGCCCCAGGCCCCACACCCTGCTTGGGTCATCTCTGATCCCAGGCTTACGAAGGTATGGTTAGAGCAGTGTTGGTGGTAGGCTGAGACTCAGGGCTGCTGAACTGGATGGGAGGTGGGGGGCATAGGAATTAAGAGTCCTGGGTTCTGTTCTCCTAGATGCAAGCAGCAATCGGCATCTAGTAGGTTACAGCATGGGAAGTGGACTCATGGGCTCTTTTCCTAGCTCCATCAGTGCCCTGCTGTCCAGGAGCAAGCCGCTTCCTTCTCTGTGCCTCAGTTTCTCCCTCTGTAAAGTGACACTAACCCTGACTCTCCCTGGGGAAGCCTGTCTGAACACAGCCTCCAGAGCCATGGCTAAGAAGGGACAGGGAAGCTTCCAGCAAAGGACACAGATGACCTTGCCTCCTGTACTGGCCCCATCAGCCCTTTACCTGTGTCATGTGCTTGGTTTGATTGCTGTAACCAGCCCCAGTCAGGACAGCAGCCTTAATCCCCAGCTGTGTGAGCGACGGCATTCCCTGGATCCACTTGTGCAGGGCATGGGCACTCTGGCGGGTCTTGGTGAAGATGATGCCACGGGAGCTGTCCAAGGCCTGGAACTGGTCCTGCAGGATCTTCTCCAGCTTGCTTAGCTTGGGGTTCTCATACTCCAGGTTTCTGGCCAATGCCAAGAGGGTGCTCTTGTTCTCTGTGACACAGCACACTGGCATATGAGCCCCTGAACTCTGGACCAAAGAGCCTGGTGCCCATTTACAACATCCCACTACCCCCAGTTGATAATGGGGTTTGAACCCCTGGATGTTCAGCATTCAGATCTGCTGCCTGGTAGAAGAGCCACTTTATTGATGGCAGGTATAAGTTCTTACCCTCTCGTGTATACTCCCTTCCCCCGTGCCCACATGCTAGACTAGTACAAATGCTTTTCAGTGTGCTCTTTCAAGTAATATATAGCTGTCTCCCAGGAGAGCCTAGGCACCAGCATGCTCTCTTGAGACATGCCATGAGGGGCAGCATGGCCCAGCAGGTAAGACTACTGGACTGGGATGCAAGAGATGTGACAGGGTCTATTTCTGACTCTTCCACCCAGCCACTGGGTGACTTTGCTATGTCACATAACCTCTCTGTCTCTCTGTTCGCAAGGAAGTTCTCTGGCCTGGGCTATGCAGAAGGTCAGACCCCTGTTGTGGACTGTTCAGAGGCGGGCCCATCCCTTACCATCAAACAAGGTCATGAGGAAGTGCCAAATTACATCTGGCAGAAACTTCATCGCCTTTTCCTGTTGGTAGAATTCATCCAGGTAGTTGACAGCGTCGACCATGCGCACGGTGTCATTGATCAGCAGGGCATCATTGTACTTCCGCAGGTGCATGGCACACAGTCTTGTCTTACGACAAAATGACTCAGCCCCTGGGGACACAGGGAACAGAACCATTGAAGCAAATGCCTAGGGCTGCTGGCACCTGACAGCATCACTGATACCCCAAGTAAACTGGGCCTAGTGGGGAGTCAGGACTCCTGCGTTTTATTCCGGCTGTGGGGAGGAGGGTGAGATCTAGTAGGTTACAGAAAGGGGGGCTGGAAGTCAGGACTCCGAGTTTCTATCTGGGAGGAAAGTAGAATCTAGTAGATACCTAGCAGGTGGAGCTCGGAGCTGGAAGGAAGGACTCCTGGGTTCTATTCAGGGGAGGAAAATGAGCGTCAAGACTCCCGGTCAGAATAGTGGGATTTCACATCCACTTTCGCCAGGCATCAGGCAGCCAGGAGTCAGGCTCTGCTGAGAAATTATTATTTTGCCAATAGTTTCTTTGCAGAAAAGTGCAGTTTGTAATTGACTGAATCTATTCACAAATTTGGGACTGATCCAAAAGTGTAAAAAGTAAATAAATAAATAAATAAATAAAAGAAGGGAAAAATGGGAAAAGTCAAAATATTTTGTTTCCTTTGTTTAGAAATTGAGCTGGAGCTATTGAAAAAACCCAAAAGGTTAAAAATGTTCACAAATGAATTGTTTGTTTGATCCAAAAAGGTTTCTTTAGCTTCTGATTTTAGCACAACACTACTCCCCGTCAAGTGTCTGACCCTCCAGAGCAGTGGGAGCCAATCTTTTTTGGCAAACATGTCACAAATTAGGCCTGCACCTTCCCCAAGTGCCACTCTGATCCCCTTTCCCTGCATGATCTGCTGCTGTGCTGCCTATCCCTTCCCTGAGCTGCCAGGTGCCACATACAGAGGCTGCCTGTGTCACTAGTGGTACATGTGTGCTGCAGCTTGTCTACCCCAGCTCTAGAAAATTCCTCTGTGCCTCTACCCTGCCTCCAGCAGGGACCCATAGCTGAGCGAGCAGGCTGAATGTAGGATTCCAGTCTCTTACATCCAGTGGTTTTGGCACCCCCTTGACCTCATTTCATGGAGCCCAGCTGCTTTTATATCAGCTATTGTTATTATTACAGTAGGGTCTGGGGGCACCACCTGGAATTGGGGCCCCATTCTGTGTGGTGTTGCATGGACACATAACAAGGGACAGTTTTCGCCCACAAGAGTGCTCATTGTAAGCAAGCAAGGCAAAGTGAGGGTCATGGCCCCATTTGATAGATGAGGAAACTGAGGCACCAGGCAATGACAGGACTTACCCAGAGTCAGTGGCAGGGCTGGGAACTGAACCCCTATCTCCTGAATCCCAGCCCAGTGTCTTAGCCACAAACCTCACCTTCCTCGGGGCTCTTAGTTCCAGGTTTCCATGTATCCCCCCATGCCCCACCAATGAGTTATGCCCTCTGTGAGTTCCTCCTCTCCAGGCAAGGGGAGCACCCCCTGCACTGGCACTATCTCCTCACCTGTCTTCTCCAGCAGGACAACTTGCTGCTCATAGATCTGGGTGCCAAAGTCCTGAGACACACTGGGAACATTCAGCTTCTGGTGGATCTGGGCCATCAGCTCCTTCAGCTTCCTGCCAAAGGGGTCCTAGGAAAGTAAGCAGTGGTGGGGGAGAATGAAGAGCACAGCTTCCAGTGGAGCAGGGGGCTTCTGCCCTGGGTTCCCCCAGCTGCTTGATGCCGAGCTGCAGGCTGAGAGTAGGATGGCTCCATCCTGGCTCTGTCAGCACCCCAAGACACTGGACAGAGGTGAGAAGAGATGAAGGCCTGGACTTTGCCTCCCTCAGGAACAGAGCCCAAGCGGTTTACTCAGAAGAGGTCTCTCTCCCTTCTGCCTGTGGAGCCCCCTCCCCTTCAGAGGCAGGCAGCCCACACTCCTAGTCAGCAGGCGCTTACCTGGGATCTCTCATGGGGTATGTCATACTGCTTCTTGGGCTGTGGGACGCGAGCCTCCAGATGTGAGTGGTGTTTCTGGGATGACATAATCTTAGCAGTGTCCAGGTTGGCACAGATCTGAAAAAGTTAAATGCCCCCCAACCGCACAGAGATGGGTAAACCATATGCCGCGTCAACTCCTTTGGCAGCTCGCTCCCTGCCACAAGACCCCAGGGCACCAAAGCAGTCCAGGGGCAAAAGGCCAAGCCCCATAAGTGCAGCAAACTACCCCCAAGAAAGCCTTACTGCTGCTGGGGGAATGGGGGGATCCCAGCCAGGCACCTGCAGGTTTTCACCCCCTCCTGCCAGATGGAGCAACACAGCAGCTCAGTGACATCTTCACCTCCCATGGCTGAAGTCTCAAGTGTGTAAGATGACTGGGAGGCTGGCACATGCTGGGCATGGCCCTGCGTCTTCCTCTGAGACTTCCCTCAATAGCCAAGAGACCAGGCAGTATAAACTCCACATGCAATGCAAGGAGGTGCCAGGGGCACCCACGGCCCTCCCACAGTGGGGGTGGGAAAGCATGGGGCCTGCTCTACTTACCTGCAAAATGTGGTCTTTGGCCCCCTTGAAGGATAAGGCCCCTCCTGTGCCAGGTGAGGCAGTGAGGCCCAGGATCTGCGGCAGGTTCTGCTGCCCACTGAGCTTGCGCTGGAGGTAATCCTGCATGATCTTGTTGTAGACAGACTCTTTGTGGGTATGGTGGCACTCGTCAATCACCAGCAGGGAGAAGTCTGCATGGGGATGAGCCAGGCTGAAGAGTGGTGCTAGCCAGAGGCATGGGTTCAATCCCCAGCTCTGCCACAGACTCCCCATGTGACCTTGGGTGAATCACTTAACTATTCAGAGCCTCTGTTCCCCAACTGTATCATGGGGGTAACAGCTCTGGGGAAGAGCAATTCACCTGTGATTCTGAAGCTCAGAGACCATGAATATGGGAGATGTGTCAAGAGCTGTTTCAGAGGGCTGGTTCTGCCAGGGACTGGTGCTGCTCTGAGAAATAAGCAGCAGCAGCCAGGGGGTGGGAAAGATAGTGGGGTACAGGGGGATACATGGAAACCTGCAACTAAGCCCCCTCAACGCTTTGGAGGGCTCCACATAAGCATACTCCACCGTAAACAGCTCCTGTAAATAATTTCATAAGTGGAACGCCTTTATGCCCTTTCCACCCTCGGCACAGATGGCAGTCTAGGCCTGGCAGCTTGCCACAGAGACCACTCTGTTTGGCTCCCCACTGCATTATGTCTATTTTAATTGAGTGTGCTGTCCCCAGGTTAATATTACATTATGTTTAAGTTAATTGAGTGTGTGTTGTCCCCAGGTTTTTGTGCATGTGGCTGTCTGGGCCTGAGGAGAAAGAATGAGGTCCTGTGAGAGTGGGAGGAAAAAATAGGCTAGTCCCAAGGAGGACAGAGTAGAGAGTAAGGGAGGTCTCAGGGCAACACAGAAAGGAGGAGAGAAAGGACTAGTTTCAGAGAGGACAGAACAGAGTCTGAGGCAGGACAGAGGCAGCTTCAGTGGCACCGTGCAGACTCTTTAGTTGGAGCTGAGCAGTCTGCTGTGCGGTCTGGGACATTGGCACTCTGACCCCATTGCATTTTGAAGAAGAAAACACCCCCTTCCTGGGAGCTGACCAGAAAGGAGCTCTGGGAGGTGGGGGAGCTATGGATCACCAGGGAAGCCAGGGACAGAGAGGAGCCATGGTCCTGAGCCAGAGGCTTGCCCCTCGAGAAGCTATGCCAGGACAAGCTTCAGGGAGTCAGTCCTCTCAGAAAAGGGAGACTAGATAAGGCAATTCCTTGGGGAGTCCTTGGGCAGAGCTTCCTCTCAAAGATGGCTTGATTCCGTGACAGGTGGTGACAATAGTGGGATACTCCTAACTCCCACCCTCCCAAACCCCTCCCTCACCACTCAGGATCTGGCTAAGTTTCCCCAGTACTCAGGTCCTCATCTGGCATCAGTCAGCTTTGATTTGACAGAGCTGGTGGGACCCATCTTTGCTGCAGCCCCATGTGCCAGGCACCCACCTGTCAGCTCCACGTGCATCTCCTCCTCCGAGCTGGACAGGGCGTTGTGCAGGATCTGTGCCGTGCAGATCACGACGTGGCTGTTCTTCACCACGTGGGAGAAGATAAATTTCTGGTCACTGTCGCCACTGATGGGGGTGACCTGGAAGGAGCTCCTGAGCACCCCAAATTCCTTGCTGAAGTGCTGATCCACCAGATGCACCTGCCAGCCAAATCCCACAGACTTATAAGCAATAGCCCGTGGGCCAGAGTAGAGCCTGGGGAGCCAGCCCCGACCTGAGTTACCCTGCAGGCCAACAGCCCCTTTTGCTCCGCAGACACAGACAGACAAACCATTCCCATGCCGAGGCAGAGGATACTTGTACATTCAGCATCCAACTCAGGGGTTAGCCTTAAAACTCTGCCCTCCAGTCACATGGAAACATCTCTGGTGCTGGCTCAGCAGTTCTGAGAGTCCAAGCTTGCAGACCCAGGCAGGGGCGGTGGGTCGGGAGCGTGTAGAACCCAGTCTCTACTTTTAACTGTGGCTGGAACTTGCCTATATTGCTTAAATCCTCCGAGTCCTCCAGTGCCTTCCAACAGGGCAGACAAGTCCTCTCAGAACTGAATGGGAAATACTCCTAGCGTCTCCACACAAAGAACCAAACCCAGCAAGGTTTGAACCCAAAGCTCTGCCTTTGCTGGCAGTTGAGTTAACAAGAATAACCCCATGGGGATAGCAGTGGTGGCAGGCAGGGGGGAATGAGAGGGAAAAGGATGTGCTGCAGAGGGGAAAGGATGAGGGAATTATTACTTCCTTCAGGGACTTAAATAAAGTCCCTGACTCCTGTTCCCGTGGCACTGACTGAAAGGGAGTGCACCCCTCTGCATCTTCCCCCGGCTGCAGCTTCCAGAGACATCTGGAATGAGACACGAGGCATGTGGTGTACGCAGCTAAAGGCTCTGGGCGCTCCTGCAGCCCCTGTGCGAACAGATCTCCCCTCCAAGGCCGGACCCAATGGATCCAAGACACTGTCACCCACTTCAGTGGGGGTGCCTGGCATGCTGTGCACAGCTCACAAAGCTGAGAGTGAGAGGGCTCCAGGCCCATGGGGGTCCCCAATACAAAGAGCAGACCTGGTAGCTGGTCAGGCCTGGCTCATACAGCAGGACACCAGCTCCATCGTGTGTCTCTCTTGCACCCTGCACTCGCTCCTGCCTTCCTGCACAGGGAGCTGGTGATGGGAGCTTACCTCCTAGCTGTATTGGTCGAATCCCCTCACCCCATCTCACCCCTGGTGTGAGCTAGCCCTACCCCAATTCCAGCCATACCTTGTTCACAAGCACGGCCACCTTAGCCCGAGCCCTGGTCTCCAGGTGCCTTTTGCAGACGTATACAGCTGCTCGGGTTTTCCCCGCACCTGTGGGCAGCCAGATGATGATGTTCTGGCCCTCCAGGGCAGGCATGATCACCTCCCACTGATAGTCGTACAGGTCCATGTGAGCAGGCACTGGTGATCTGTGGGGGATGAGCCTGGGGAGGGGGCACAGCTGGGATCAGCACTGATCTAGGACCCTGACCCCAGCTCCCCATCTTCCCCCCCCCTTCACAGCTTCCAGTACACTCACATCCCCATCCTCTGGCCTCCCCCAGCCCTTGTAGTCTCCTAAGCAGCTGAGCAGGCAGATGCTGTCCCTCCAGCCCCACCCTAATGCTGATGCTACAGCGACATCTTCAAGCACTGAGCTTCTTGTAAGCCTCCCCCAGGTGTCAGCTGGGAGGCCCTTGTCTGCAGAGGGCACTCAGCTGATGGCAGTCACCCAGGCAATGGGTAGGGATGGACAGGGACAAAAGGAGATTGGCGCTTCTCCCCTTCCTCTAAGGCACCTCTCTGCATGAAATCACCCAAGGGGGGAGCCCAGATCCCAGTGCAGCCCACACACCTACCTTTGCAAGGGCTTCAGACAGTTGCTTCTGCTGTTGTTCAAGACAAGTCTCCAGCACCCAGACACTATTGCTTTTTAAACTTCAATCCAGAAATCGAAACTCAAAACTGCAACCTTCCTTTCTGGGAGCCCCATCAAGGAGGCTCTTGATGGCTGCAGATTCAGCACTTTGCAGAGCCTGAGCACTGAGCCTTTAGGCACATAGTCTCTTCTCTTAGGGTCAGGCCACACTGCTTGCACTCCAGCTGGGATCACTGGAGTCTCTACAGACTCCTGACTCCCTGAGGTTCAGTGGTACACTCTTTGTCTGCCACCCATGAGACCCACGTTCAATATGCAGCTACAGCCATAGAGGCACTGAACGTCTGGACTCAGTGTGGCCTTTGGATTTTGTCTCAGTGGCCTAAAGCAGGGGATGGAAGGTCTGGGCAGCCTCAACTCCCCAAACTCCTGCCTTGGCATATATGTCCAAGGTGTGGGTGACCTCTCTCACATACTGAAGCCCCAGGCGGGGGTGAAGGATGGTTGCTGATAGCAGGGCCTCACCATTCTTGAGTGACTTGCGGATTTGGAATTTATTTGGCTGATTTGACTTGGAACACAAAAAAATTTCTTTAAAAACCCTCCCCAACAAGAAACAGGGAGGTGGGCAATTACAGGCTGCCGGCCTTAGTCGGAACAGCCCTGCTGCCCCTCCACAGGGTTTCCCTGGGTTGCCTTGTCAGAAACAGAAACTGAACTGAGTCTGCAACTGAGTCATCTCCCCCAGCCGGCAGCAGCCTGCTCCCCAGCCCTAGGCCTCAGCCTTGCTGGAGGGCACCAGGTCAGCCCGGGGAGCTGGGCCATGAGTGCAGCCTTCCCTGGGCACCTCACCATACATTCCTTGCTCAGCCTGGGGCCTCAGGGGCTCCCACCTCAGCACCCTGCTCTCCCCTGCTCCTGGCTGTCTACCCCCCAGCCAACCCCATGCAGCGGGTACCTGGGATCTCATTGCATGACAGTGGCCCAGAACCTGTGGTCTCCATAGAGAGAGGCTTTTCACTGATCCTTCCAGTGAGCCTGAAGGCAGGCTGCTTTAGCACTGCTGTGCTGACCTACCTGCTGCAACAAGCACGGAGGCCAAGGGGCTGGTACTGACCCTCACAGCATGTAGGAGCAGCACAGCCTAGGGAGGAAAGGGAGCATGCCTGTGGACCATGCTCCAAGGCACTGGGATTCAGAAAAGCAAAGTTCCTTCACCCTCCAAAGCACCTGGCTCCTCTTGCTTCCCCTGCCCCAGGCACTGTGCTCCCCCTCTTGACTCACCTCCACTTGCCTCTCAGATCAGTCCAGTGGCACAGTGGGAAGCAAGAGGGACTGCCGCACCATCCACATCTATGCATGTGAGTGCCTGGCTGCTCATGCCTACCTGACATGCAACATAGCTCTTCATATCCACCTGGGCAAGGCTTATTGGGCAGAAGTCCCTGCAGAGTATGGGCTGCTCCAACTGGAATTACGTTTTGAAGCAGAGCTGCTCCCAGGCATGAATATTGGTCTGAGCACTGCAGGAGATTGCCCTGCATGTTGTTTGACCACCTCTACCCTAGGACTAGCATGTACGTGTAAACAGAGGAAATTATATTCAGTGCCCACCCTAGGGTTGCCAACTCTGTTTGACTCTATTCCCAGAGATTACATTACGTGACATAATGACATTAATGAGTCATTACTTCAGGAAGGCAAATGCACATTACTATTACATTTTAAAAACCCATTGGACTACTATATAAATCAGATTCAACAGTTAATATTTATTTTAATGAATTCCCTATCATTTATCTCCCAGGGGACTCTCAGCAGTCTCCCAGAGATTTATATCTAATTCTTGGAGACTCCAAGGCAATCAATCTTGGAGGGCTGGCAACCCTAACCCACCCAGACACTGCCTCCCTCCTGCACACACTGTTGAGGACTTCCAGCCTGCCTTCCTAACTCACTACCACTGGGCAGAGGTACCAATGGGTGTTAAAAGAAACACTATAGCAATCTGACAGTGGTGGAAGAGACCTGCAAGAAAGCTCCTGCAGTAGCTAGCAATCAGCAGATTGCTCCTCCCCCTCTATGTAACACTGGTCAGGCCGCAGTTGGAGTACTGTGTTGAGTTCTGGGCGCCGCACTTCAGGAGGGATGTGGACAGCATTGAGAGGGTTCAGAGGAGGGCCACCCGCATGATCGGGGACAGTGGGGCAGGCCCTACGAGGAGAGGCTACAGGATCTGAACCTGTTCAGCCTCCACAAGGGAAGGCTGCGGGGGGATCTAGTGGCCTGTTACAAACTAGTCAGAGGGAACCAGCAGGCACTGGGGGAGGCCCTGTTCTCCAGAGCACTACCAGGAGTGACAAGAAATAATGGTCACAAGCTGGCAGAGGGTAGATTCAGACTAGACATCAGGAGGCGCTACTTCAGTCAGGGCGGCTAGGATCTGGAACCAACTTCCAAGAGAAGTGGTGCTGGCTCCTACCCTGGGGGTCTTTAAAAGGATGCTAGATAATCACCTTGCCGGAGTCGTTTGACCCCAGTGCTCTTTCCTGCCATGGCAGGGGGTCAGACTTGATGATCTGCTCAGGTCCCTTCCGACTCTACCAACTACGAAACTATGAAAGGCTCAGCATAGGTTACAGGTAAAAGATCCAGTGGCTTTGTTGCTACACTCAGCCACAGGAGCTCCACCCAGCTGTGGCTGAATCACAGAGCTTTTTCCACAGGGAAGTCAGTAAGAAGAGGCGCACTCTGTTTTGGACAAGTACATTTATTTAAAAAAACCCACAAGTGTGAGGTGGAATGGGTGGATGGGCAGGGCTGGGTGTGGGTACAGCCCAGCAAGGCAGAAGCCAGGCATGAGGAGCACCTGCTCTCACATGGCAAGGACAGCATAAGGGACAAGCAGGCATAGCAGAAAAGACAAGAGGCAGTCAATGGTGGGGGGGCAGGGGAGGCAGTACAAACACAGCTTATCTTCATTTCCCTTCCACAGCAGGGAAGAAATCTGCTCACAGTCCAGCAGCTGGGCAGACAGGGACAGAGCAGTGAGGAACAGGCTCCCGTGAAGGCCCTGAACTCCCTGGGGCTGCCTGCTGGCTCAGGAAGATGCTGGGCATGGAAGTGGCAGCCTCTAGCCCTCAGAAGCTGCAGCCACACGCAAGAGGAAACAGGGAGATTAGGCACCTGGTCCACTGTCTGAGGCAGGGCAAGGTTGCTGACAAAATGGCTAGCTGAGGGGGGGGCCATGCTTGGCCCAGATTGCTTAGTGACAGAACTGGTGAAGCCCTGGTCACCTCTGCAGTTACCCCCTTGGCCAAAAACATCTCAGTGCCACCCCGAGAACAGACAAAGGATTCCACTCCCCTGCACTTACACTCTCTGCCCAGGAACGACCTGGGCCAATGCTTCCTCCTGAGGCAAAGACCATGTGGTACATCATCACAGTCCCTACCTCTGTGAGATAGGCACAGGGCTCTGCCCTAGGATCCTAGCACCAGAGCAGCCATGGAGGTTGTTAAGGATAGTCATGAAAGGCAGTGGACTAGATGGAATGAAGAGCAGGAAGAAGGCAGCTTGTGCAGAACTCAGAGCATGGCAGGGTCCTAAACTGAAGTCCAGTGGAAGGGCTCAAGCAGGACAGTGACCCGTGTGACAAGTAGCAAGGCAGTGGAGTGTCTAGTGGGGCACACGGCCACAGCCCGCACAACAGAAGGGAGTGCCAGGGCACAGACGGAGCATGGCTCAGAGGAAAAGAAATAGCTGTCTCTGTACCCCAGGAAGAAAAGGGCTGAGAGCGGCAATGGGACAGGGCTAGGAGCTCCGATGCATCTTCAATTAAGAACAAGAATTGAAGGCCCCAGGCGAGACCCTGACACTTTCCCAGACCAGAGGTGAGTGGGCTCCTGCCCCATAACCTCCCCAATCTGTCCCCTTCTAGACAGCCTAGGAGGCAGGAAGACCCTGGTCATACATTCACATGGTAAAGGGCAGGGATGGAGGCGCAGTGTGCGTGTGCAGCAAGACAGAGCATGAGCCAGCAGCATAATGCCAGGCTGAGGCGGCAGAGCCCAGGCTCAAAGAATGGGGGAGAGGGAAGGCAGCTCTGCTAGGGCAGGAAGCAGGTCCAGACTCTGCTCTGTACAGCAAGACAAAACACAGGCACATGCCAGTAATTCTGGGCTGCCTTGGCCAAGAGCCCTCAAGAGCCAAGTTCCCCACCATCCCCTCACTGCTCTGGACGAATCACATAGCAATGGGAGCCCCTACGGCCAGATAAGGTGCAGCCCCAGCAGAAGAGAGTGGGCAGCCCTGATAGGACCTCACAGCAGGCCAAAATATCAGTATAGATCCATTCCCTTTTGGAAAAAGGCCTCTACAGCAAGCTGCCCATGCTGCTTCCTCCAGAGTAAGGCTGCATGGGGATGCGAAGTCCAGCCCATAATGCTGTAAAGGCCTTGAACGGCGCCTGCCTTTCAGCCACCACAGCCCCATCACAGAGCCCAGCCTCTGTTTGTGAAATGACAAATGCCCATGAAAGAGCACCCCCACCTGCTGCAAGGGCGCAGCCTAGCACCCAGGTTGTCAGCAGCAGCCTGCACCCTGTACGTGGCAGGAACCAGGCCTTGCTGAGCTGGGAAGAGTGCAGACCCCACCTGGAGGATGTAAACAACAAGACATGCCACCCCTGCCCTGCACACCAGTGTTTTGGCTGCAGGGGGAGCATAAGACCAGGAGGCACCTGCTCTGAGGAGGAGCTGGAGCACAACCCCCCAGTGCCACAGGGCTCTCCCCTGTGCTACTTGTCTATGAGGCCCCCCTCCTTGAGTTTGAAGTAGAAGAACTTCTCCAGGGTATTGGCGCACTTGCAATAGTCACTGTCAGGTGGGTTGTACTCCCGGCAGTTGGTGATGATACGCTGCAGGTCCGCGATGAAGAGCTTCTTGGTCACATAGTAGCGGTTCTTCAGGCGCTCAGTCATGGTCTTCAGATCTGCAAGGGGGACAGCAGTCAGCTCTTGTGTGGCTTTATTCCCTCCCTCCAACCCTTCTGGTCCCACACAGGAGTCCCTCTTGGTCCCCCCTAAATGCCCTGCCAGTTTAGTCTTATCTTTACACAGGTAGGGGAAGGAATTTATCTGATGTTGCCATGTGCCAGAGGTTAGGCTAATAGAGCACAGGACCTTTGATTTCCAACTCGCAGAGCCCCAAACACCTCCTCCAAAGGCAAGAAGACAAACCAGGAGTCCTGATGCTCAACACCCCTCCCTGCTCTACCACTGGTATCTTCTCTTCCTTCCAAACAAAGGACAAAGTCCGGGAATCTTGTCTCTTGGCCTCCTCTCCATCTCCCCTCCCAAAGCTTCAGAGAACCCAGGGGTCCTGACTGCCAGCCCCTCCCTCAGCTCTGCCCCACAGAGCAGGTGCCCACCTACCGATAGGGAAACGGATGATTTCGTAGTAATCAGGTGCCTCAGACTTCTTGACAGGCTCCATGAAGGGCCAAGCACTGGGGTGGGTCTGTGAAAGGAGGGAAACTAAGAACCTCATTCATTCAACAGGAAAAAATGGCAGGCAGGCCCCTTCCCCAACCCCTGCAACCCGTATCAAGCCCTACAGGTTGCTAGCTTCCAGCACCCATTGCTCTGGGGAACTCAGATGTTGAATCAAAGAGTTGCAATCAGGAATATGGGTCAGAACTGCAACCCAATGAACCCAGGGGTCCTTGTGGCTGCTGAGGAAGGTGACAGACGGCCAGAAAAGTCAGAACATACTACCAAGAAGCTGTTCTGGATTCTGGCCTGGCTTGTGCCCTGGGGCAGAATGGTCTAGTGGTCCCAACTAATGCTGCTATTAACTAGACCTTTGGTACCCCTGTGCCAGGAGGGTACCCCCGAGGATGCATCCCCCTAGTCCATAGCCCCAGTACCTTGATTTGGGCCAGGAGGTTCTTCAGGGTGTTGTAGAGCTGGTCTGGATCTTTGAGCTCTTTCCTGTAAGGGAAAACCTGAACAGTGCTCAGTCTGTCAGCACCAAACATGTTTGTCTTTCCCAGCACTCATAGGTGACCATGAACAATGCTGCCAGATGCCCAGGCCACTGGGTTCCCAACTTTGGGGACAATGTCTCCCTTCTCCCAGGCAGCTTGGACTGGTGCATGCTCTCCTTAAGTAGGAGGCACTAGCTCAGAGCACCAGGGCAACTGGCCCCTATGACATGGGTGGGCAAAATATGGCCTGCGGGCCAGATCCAGCCCATGAGGCCATTCTTTCTGACATGTGGGGCCCCTAAAAAATTTAGAAAATAAATATTAATCTGCCCTTGGTTCCGGTCAAAAATGACAGCAACCAAGGGCAGTAGGATCCAGGGGAAGCCCGGTGGGCTCCCACAACAGCAGGGTCCACCCGACCCCACCCCCACAGCTGGAAGTCCCAGTAGGGACTTCTGGCCTGGGACCACGTGGCTTCCCTGTGCCAGAACCACAGGTAGGGGTGGGACCCTGGGCAGGGAAGGAGCCCAGGGAAAAGTGGTCCAGGTAAAAGCTGAGCGGGGTGGGAGGGGGGGAGGGAAGTGGCCCCTCGCCCACCCCGTGGCCGGCGCCCCACACTGCAGCTGCTTGCAGCCCACGCAGAGCTGCCTGTGCCTGCTCCGGACAACCCCGCATGGGCAGCAAGCAGCTGCAGCAGGGAGCGCCAGCCATGGGGCGGAGGAAGGGCCGCTTTTCCCACCCCTGTGCTCAGCTCTTCCCGGCGCAGGGAAAAGCGGCCCCTCACTCGTCCCATGGCCGGCGCCCTGTGCTGCAGCTGCTTGCAGCCCGCATGGGCCTGCCTGTGCCTGCTCTGGACAGCCCCATGCAGGCTGAGAGTGCCTGCAGGACGGAGCACCAGACACAGGGCGGGTGAGGGGCCGCTTTTCCCCATGCTCAGCATCAGCTTCTTCCCTGCCGGCAGGCTGGGGGGCACTGGGAGCGAGTGGGAGGGGAGCCAGCGGGAGCACAAGGCCTGCACCGGTGTCCCGGGGCCAGTGCTGGCAGAGCCCAGAGCAGGGTGGCAGGAGTGGGTCCCAGCTGGTAGGGGCTCTATGGAGCTGGGCCAGCTCCCCCCTCTCCCTGCTGGTGCAGCCCAGCCCAGGTCCACAGACCCCTGCCAGCCTGTGCCCCGCTTTGGGACCTACTGGTGCTGGCCCTGGGACATTGGTCCCAAGACATTGGGACATTGGTCCCAAGATGGTGACCAGGGGCAGGGCTACCCAAGCAGCCCTCAACAGCCTGCCAAAACTGGGTAAGTAGCCCTCTGCCTGAAATAATTAACCGCCCCTGCCCTAGGACCTGAGAGCAGCATGACCAGCCTCAGACCAAGTGTGCCATGGGGGCTCTTGCACTTAAAGAGTAGAAGCACTGCTGACCAGACACCCACCAGCTGCACCACTGAATGAAGCGCAACCCCCACTATCTCTACATCACCTGCAAGGTCCAGCATCAAGACCCCTCACTTGGCCCAGAGGCCTACAGAGGTTCAAGATCACCCCTATGCTGCTGCCTCTGACCACCAACCCACGCCACGTGGTAACTCTGGGCTAAGAATGGCACTTACCCTTTCTCCTTCCCCAGGGGCTTCCATCCCGTTTCTCCTGGAAGACAGGGAGAAGAGTCTGTTCACATATGAGGGTCACTGTCCCCTTCCCAGCACAGCACTGGCTTCTCAGCAGTCCTTCTGGGTCTCACCACCCCAAGCCCAGAGTTGCCCAGGCACTCAGCTAACTCCAAGTCCAGCATCGCCCTCAAGAATACATTAGAGCAGGCTGCAAGGTCTCCCACTGTGCCCTCCCCACCACTGCAGTACTTTAGTAGTGATCTGGCCCATCAACCATGTTCCAAGGAACAAAAGGAAGGTGGGGGTGTGGGAGAGAGAATGTCAGGAGCTGTCACGCCTCAGCACAGAGCTGTCACACTTGCAGAACTTTGGAGCTGGCCAAGAACCTGCGTTGCCATGGGAGGGAGCAGAGATCAGAGAATCTGGCAGTCTCTGGCAAAGCCCCTGAGACCGCCCTTCCCTGCAGCCTGTGTTATGTCTCCATTTGCACCATTACTAAGGAATCCCAGCAGCTTTCAGGCCTCACATCCCAGCCCAAGGGATATGACTCCTGGGACAAGTTTAAAACATCTCAAACCTGGAAGGGAAGCAGAGCTCTCTGCTACAGGAGGCATCTGGCAGCGCAGTGGCACAGCCTGGCCTGCGGGTGGCAGCAGCAGTATTGTACACAGCTGGGATGCTTCACAAGACAAAACTTTGGGCAGCTGCAGCACGTTCCAGCTCTAGCTAGTGGAGGGAGCTGTTTTGTTGCACCCACCTGTGATGACCCTAAGTGCATCCCAGGGGACAGCATGGTTTACCTGCCCAGCCCCAGCCATACATAGTTGGTGCTTAGAGTGAATCTGGACCTCCTGCAAGTGATCTTTCTCCAGCTGGGCTTTGGACAGAGCAGCTATACTTTGCCAGCTCACTGCAGAGCGACCTGGGCACCCTCCTGTCCCCAGGTGGACTGGGCAGTAAATACAGGACATCACAGAGTTGTATACCCAGCTTCAGCTGGCAACAATGCAGAAGTGTATTGATTAATAGTGATGACCCTGGCTTTCTTAGAAAGCAAGAGGCATAAACTTACAGCCCCCGCTACTGCAAGGGTTCAAGAGGCCCATCACCAACATCCAGGCATTTGCTATAGCTGCACACAGGCATGCAAGTGTCAGGTAAAAGGGGAGTACAACACACAATAATGCCGAATACTATTCCAAGCCCTTCTTCCACAGCAAATGCGCCTCCCCGCTGCCATCAACAGGTCCACAGTCATTTAGCTGTACTATCAATATGCCTCCACATTCCCAATGACTGAAGTGTGCACACATTTCCTGAGACCCCGCATCAGCAGCTCCTGGGACATTTGGGGCAGCTGGACTCAAAGAGATCTGCTGTGCTGAGCTGCTCAGTAACAGGGGAGAGGGGAGATGGAACAGGGAAAACAAACACCAAGAGCTGCAGAGGCAGGAACTTACGGATGCCAGGGATGCTTTCAATGGGGATCTGCCGCACACCCTCCTTAAAGCAGGTCAGGCCTGGGTACACCTTGCGGATCTGTGCCTGCTTCCTCTCAATCAGCTTCTTGATGATCTGTGGCAGAGGGGTAAAGGCTGGAGTCCCAGGGAAATGCTGCAAAGCACTCTGCTGTGGGAGACCTGAACACTCCTCTGCCAAGCTCCCTAGAATTCCTCCCCAAGACGCTATCTACAGCTTGACTACAATGCCTGGTTTGCACTTGGCTGGTTTGCACATGGCAGCCTTGGAGCTCTGGCTGCAGACTCACCCTTTGGTGAGCTCCTGGCTGCCAGCATGCCCCCTTCATTTCATCTACCATTTTAAAAGCCAGTTAAAGGCAACTCGGACTCGACCTGGCAAGACCTTCTCAGAACCCTGCACCAATGAAGCCGTGTCCTAAAAGAGGTACCTCCTTCTGCTTCTTGATGATGTGGGAAAGCTCAGTGTAAGGGATGCGGGGGTTAAGCTCACACTCCATCAGGGTTGCCCCCTCATAGTCCTTGATGTAGCCCAGGTAGCGACTCTTTGGCACCTTGATATCCTTGGAGAAGCCCTGGGTTGGGGAAGGGGGTTATTAGAGTGAGTTCTCTACTTCCTTGATAGGGAAGAGCTGCTAGTTCCTGTGGGGCCAGGGAAGCTGTACCTGCTTCTTGAAGTACCCGATGGCATACTCGTCGGCATAGGTCAGGAAGTACAGGATGGTGTGCTTGATGTGATACTCCTTCAGGTGATTCATCAAGTGTGTCCCGTACCCCTGGGAAGACAGATAAACAGACACGCTCACATGCCCCCATCAGGCAGGTGCCACAGAGCCCCAGGCTGCCAAGCACAGAACAGCCAGATGCTGGTTGCAAGCCACAGGCAGCATCTCAGACAGGGATCCCAAGTAGCTGGGGGAGGCTACCCCACAGTTCCACGCAAGCCCAGAGCAGGGAGTGGATGGGGACACGTGCCAGCGGGGCTACTGCCCAGAATCAGAAAGAGCCAGCATTACACACACTCCCACCCTGGCTTCTTGGCCAGAACAAAGAAGCACAGACTAGGCCTGTCCTGTGCTTGAGTGCATTTTAACAACCCCTATAGAAGCAAGATGCTGACAACCCTCATCTCCTTGCTTTACCTATGGCAGTTTAAGGTGCTTTGGGTGTTTTTAGGTAGTAGGCCTCGTTGTTGTGCGACAGGGCAGATTGTATAGTTTTAGGAATAGGTCTTGCATGGCATGGTCTGGATGGGAATGATAATGCCTCAAGCAGGGGGCTGGACTAGATGACCACTGGAGGTCTCTTCCAGTCCTACTTTTCTATGATTCTATTCTTCCCTGATACTAAAGTAGTTTCCCAGCCTAGGGCTCCCCCAAACAACTCAGGAGTGCCCTTTCATCCTGCCTTCCAATCCCAGCTGACCCCTGCTTGCTTTCAAGCAAACCAACCATGGTGCTCCAACACCCTCAATTAGCTGCCACCTGTTCTCACCTTCACTTGCTCGTTGGATGTCACAGCACAGAAGACAATTTCCGTGAAGCCCTGGGTGGGGAACATGCGGAAGCAAATCCCCCCGATCACTCGGCCATCCTTGATCAGAGCCAGCGTCTTGTGCTTGCTGCAGGAAAAGGCACGGCAAATGCATAGAGGGCATTTGAATCAATCAGGAAGGGCCTGAGGATGGGCAATTTATGGGATGAGGAGCAATCGCAGCCCACCTGGGGCAATCAGGGTCGCCCTGTTCCCCAAGAACTTATCAGTACTGTGTGGCAGAAAGGTAAAGTTGTAGCTGGGGTGACCCACAGCCCTGGATCAGACTAAAATACAGGTTCTCAAATGTCATTTTAAGCTCTGACCCAATGTGAGAACTGAGCCCAATTCCTTAGAGCAGAGTGGAAACCCCACCAATCCCACCTTCCCTGGCCGCAGCTAACGTACGGGTCAAAGACGAGGCGTGTGATATACTCCTTAGGCATGCGGGGCAGCTGGTGGGAAAAGACATTCTGCAGCCCCACCAGCCACATAAGGATCTTCTTGTTGGATTTCTGGGAGAGTGAGTTGCCGATGACATGGAACTCGATGATGCCACGCCGCTCCTCCAGCCGCGCTGTCTCGTCCCGCGCCGCATTTGCTGACAGCAGGCTGGTCTGCGGGTCCAGGGGCAAGAATGCAAGAGAGCGCCGCACCCACTCACCCAAGCTCCTCCCTAGCACCCTGCTCACCGAGCCTACCAGTAGGAAGGACACAGGGGCCATAAGTGCAAAAGAGAGGCCCTGTTTTGCAAGGCAAGGCAGCTCAGAGCATCACAGCAGGGCTCTGGCACTGGTGCAACTGGAACTTGATTCTCTCCCTTGCTGAATGAGGAAGTTCTGTGCAGAGCCCCCAACCCATACCATACCCATGCCAGCTCCAGTCTCCCATCTAGAGTGATGCCCACAACCAACCCCAGCATGAGGTCAGAACCATCACTACCAGCAGGTCCAGAACCACTGTGTGAAAAGCTGGCAATCCCTCTTGTCCTGCCCAGTCTCACTGGAGGGTGGTGACACCAGAGCCAGACCCTGCAGCATTGGAGAGCCAGCTATCACCAGCAACAACCATCCCAAGCTGTTAGCAGCTCTGTGGTCTGCTCCAACAAACGACAGGTCCTCCGCCCCGACACCTCACCGTACCTCTGGCCCCAGCATGGCAGCAGGGTCTGTGATGGTCAGCATCACTTCATTGACCAGTTCCATGGGGATGTCACCCATGACCCGGATGCGCTTGGCATCTTCCAGCGTCAGGCTCTCAGGCAGTTTCCGTTTCTCACCTCCTCGAGGGCGGGTAGGGGACAGAGGAAAACAGTCACCATAGAGCTCGGACTGCAACCAGGGGCTGCTAGTGGATCTGACACCCACCCCACATGGCTTGGGATCCCCCTTCCCCATGCCACACAGAGACAACCGCAGCCCTGCCCACAGGACGCCATGAAAACCAATGCTGTCTCAAGCCCCACAACCTACTGGGACTCTGAAAAGCCCTGTGCTCACAGGAGTTGGAGGAAGGATGCCCTTCTAGACCACAGGCCTGCCCAGGCCCCACAGGGGCTGTGTATGGCTTCCACACAGACCTGCCTCACTAGGCAAAGTCGGGCCCAGTGCCCCACAGAGCCCCCAAAAGGCTCAGCACACTGGGCTGGCAGCAGACAAGGGTTTTTTCACACTGGCTTCTTACTTCCATTTCAGCAGAACAGATTTGTACCAGATTATAGACAAGGAGAGCGGTCTGAGCATGCCCCAGTGCCAGTCCCAGCCTTCATGTATGAATTTGTCAGTGCACACGCCCACAAAACCTACACCCTGCACACAGGGCCACCACTGAATGGGTCTGCTTCTTTTGCCCTGCCAACCCTTCTCCATTATGGGAGCAAAAGCCCCCACACCTGTAAACCTCAGACCAATTTCCCAGCTGCCCCACTGACCCCAAGGGATTCACACCAGGGCTAGGCTGGGTCTCTGCTCTCTGTGCACCAGCAGAGCTGGCACTGGCTGCAGACTGGCTCCCAGACCTGGGACCATCCTTTCCTGAACAAATCAGAGAGAAGGAAGGTCTGTGCCAGCCCCTAAAGTCCCAGCACCTGCCCCCACCTCCTCCCAAGCATTACCTGGCATGGGCTCCGAAGCACTGGTGTCCATGCTCATGGAGGAGCTGCTGCTGCTGAGCTTCTTGCTGAACAGTGGGGCACTGGGCACAGCCACAGTACTAACAGCTGCTGGGAGGCACAACAGTGGTTTTCACTAGCCAAACCCACCCCATTACATAACGACCAAGGGGCAGAGTGCAGTCACTGTTCACAAGGCCTCACTCAGGTTGGGCCCGTGCCCCTGACACACAGAGGTGGTGTGGAGTGCAGCACTGGCATGCAGAGGATGCAGCAAGCGGTCATGCCTACAGGGGCACCTCACATGCTGGATGCGCCACTCTATTATCAAGTACCTGGGCATGGGACTAGCTGGGTGCCCTCCGTGGCTGGCATGATGAAGTCAGACTCCCAGATGGGAGAGTTCTCCCCATAGATCTCCTCCTCCAGCATTGACAGGAACCTGGGTGCAGGGTGGCATAAAATATGAGTCAGCAGGACCACCAGAGGAGGGCACACACAGCCTAGGGAACTGGAAGCCCTACCCACATGACAGCACAGTGTCAGCCACGAGAGAGCACGATTGTTGCGCTTGCTAGCGGCAGGGGAGGACAGAGCTGCTAGAAGCCTCACCCAGCCAGGGGAGCCCAGGGTAGGTTCAGTACCCAGTGCCCATGCCCTGCAACAAGCGTTAATCCTGAGTCCACAACACCTAGGAAAGAGCTTGGCTGCCCTCCTTGCCCCTTGTGGAGGACTAAGGGGGCAGAAGAGCTGCCACTGACCCTTCTGGGGCTGGGCCGCCTACTTAGGGAAGTGGGTGAGGATAAGCGTCCGCTTCTCAGGCACCAGCTTGTCCTTCTCCACGCGGAATTTCTCCAGCAGCTGCCGGCGGGTGACGGTGAAGATGGACTTGAGGAGGCTGCGGCCGAAGACGTGAGTGGTCTCATAGCGGGGCAGGCTGTCGCAGCTCTGGGGCACGTGGCAGTAGCACAGCCACCTATGCAACAAAACAGCAGACACTCCTAAAGACTGGCCCATTTCTGGTCCCTGGGAGTGGCGCCCCAGAGGGTTGGCTTCATGAACAGGGCAAGCAGCCATGGGGTTGGCAGATGCAGCTCGCAGGGAATGGGATGGGCAGGGAAGGCAGAGAGGAGACAGTGGCTGCAGTCAAGAAGGGAGCCCTTCCCCCACAGAGCGCTAGACAAAGCGAGACCTCTTTGCTCCCAACCAAGGACACAGATGTGTCAGCTTGTGGGTCCTTGCCCTCCCAGACCACTCCCACCCCTTCCATACTACATCCTAGCAACCTATTAAGTAAATTTAACACTGCCCAGCAAGGCCGCAGGCTCTCAGCAGCCCAGTGAGCCTTTGCCATGAGTGCCATGAGGATGTCTAGCTCCTTCAGGAGTAGAGGTGAGATTGCAGAGGGACTTGTATCTGTTTTCAAGGAGTCTGATCAGATTCTCAGGGTTTGCTGGGCTCATAGCTGGCAGTGTGGCAGGAACCAGGACAAGGGATACTGGGACTAGAGCAGAGGGGCAGTTCAGGGGAGAAAGAAGTCTCATAGTTCCCAGGCTGCAATGGTCCTGCAGGGATGGAAAGTCAGTGCAACCTTGGACAGTGCCTGCCCAGGTTTTGGGGGCAGTGAAGAGCTAAGAGCCCCAAAGCAAAGTGTCCCATCAATCAGTGACAAGCACTGAGAACACAAAGGGTCTGTAATGACTCCTCCCTGCTCATTTCAGCTCCACCACCCCCCACACCCCAGAAATCCAGCACTCACCTGGTGTAGTTCACCTTGTAGGTGGCAACGTCATCATTTTGAGAGCGCTGCCGGAACTGGGAGGGCGTCTCCAGCTTCCAGTAGTTGAGGCACAGCAGAAACATCTTGGAGAGTTCATACATTGTCTGTCGCTCCTTGGGCGGCAGATGACTGAATTTGTACTGGACGAAGTTCAAGACTCCCTGGGAGAGGAGGAGGCAGGTGGGACATCAGGGATGAATGAAGCTGCGGGATGCCCCAGCTGGAGGCGCCACCACATCATGGTCAGTCCTAAGATGGCTCCACACAAAGTGCCTTGCAGCTGTGCAACAGGGTTGTTGGCATGGCTTTACGAAAAGCTTAGACAAGAACTTGTATAGAACAGTTTAGATAGGGATGATCCTGCCTTGAGCAGTAGGCAGAGCTAGACAACCTCCTGAAGGCCCACTTTTCTATGGTCCTATGACCAAGGGATGGTGAGGGTGCAGAGGGTAACGTTAACGGACCAGGAGGGCCAGAGAGTCCAGAGAGGCAGCACGGAATAGCTGCAACCATCAGCAGAGACTGGGGTTCAGCTTTGCTTCAGGCAGTAAGTGGGTTGGGGCAGGGCAGGAATGAAGTAACATCACGCTGCAGAAGTCTGCCCGTAGGCTGGCAGATCTGGCAACTCTGCATAAAGAGAGAGATACCCATAGGACTGCTGGTCAGGACTGAGAGGGGCCCAGTAGCAGAACACAGGGGCAGGCGACTTGCATCCAATTACTGAATGTGATGTTGTCATCACAGCCAGAGAGCTAAGGAAAGCGATGGGCAGGGCAGAGCAGAGCAGGGTGGGAGAAGCATGGACAAAGCTGCATGCAGCAGGTGTGGAGTCAGAAGAGAGGACCGCAGCCCAGCAGCTGCCCAGCTCCGTGCATCTCCATCACATCCCTGCCTCCAAGCACAGAGACCCTCTGGCACACTGTTGCACCAAAATGCAGCCTGGTTTGCTTTTGAAGAGCCCAGGAGAACCTCTATCTGGGAGAAGCATCACTGAGCTGCAAGGAAGCTCTTCTAGTTTTACAAGGGGTAGGAGAGAAAGGAGGAAGGAGGCTGAAGACCATGATATAAAACAGCAGGCACAGGAGGTAGTGGCAGCAGCACCCCCATCCTGGGAGGCCCTGGGCGCAGGCACACTAGGGAATTGCTACAGCAGAAGAGGTTGTTGTGACAACCAATGCCCGCTGTGGAGCGCTCGTGTTACCTGCTCAATATTGGGCTTCTCGAAGGGTGGGCTCCCAAGGGACCCTTCCACCACCGGACGGCTCATTTGCAGGATGCACTTTCTCAGGAGCTGCGGGACACAAGGAGGCTGTTACACCACTGAAGGCAGAGCAAGGGCAGGGGTTAGCCGGCTGCAGAAAGGGGTTCCAGCAAGACCAGGAGGAACAAGCCAGAGACCAGGCAGCCTCAGCACTGAGGGCAGCTCCCATGTGCTCCAGGGCCTGGCTGGCCCCTGCCTGGAGCCTGCAGGTGCCTGTCTGCAAAGGTAGGAGGGCAGCCCCTGCCCCAGGGTAGCACCCGGATGCGAAGCCCCTTCCTTGCCCCATGTAGGCCTGCCCCTCCAGAGCCACAGCACCAAGGGGGAGGAGGGGGCAGCGGCAGCAGATAGATCCCACTGCACCCCTGCCTCTGCCAACCAGCTCTAGGTCCCGCTGGACTTTAGGTAAAAACAGCGGGGAACATCCCAGTGGTCAGTGGTGTGACACGCAGGAGGGGGCCCTCTATATCCTGGGGATCCTGAACTGGGGCCCCTGTGAGAGTGCGTCGAGGGGGCCACACGGCCTGGGCACTGCCTTCAGTGCAGCCAACTGTGGATCTGGCCAGGCCTGCGGCAAAGCATGCCTGGTTCTTCCTTTGAAGATAATTCTCCCCACAGGCCTTGGCTCAGACCTTCTGTGCAGTTTCCAAAGAACCACCTTGCTGCTGGGCTGATTGGACAGGTCTGCAGGCACCTAACAAATGAATCCCCCACTGAGCCTAGATCCCAGAACAGACTTCTGCAGCACGCTCCCTGAAGAGCTGGCCTATCGAGACACTGGGTCCAGCAAAACCAGAACCCCAACAGCATGTGGACACACAGATCTGACTCTTGGTGAGAGGTCCGTCTAGCAGAACAGCATCAAAGGGCCACCATGTCAGAGGCTGGGAACGGCCTACCATACTGCAGGCTGAAAACCTTAACTGTGTACGACCCCTAGCAGCTCCACATGAAATCAAAACCTTGCAGGGGGGAGTTAGCCAAGCCCAGCGCTGGGACAGAGTTTGGGGAGAGATCATAGCACGTGGGTTCTTAACACCCCAAAGGCATCCAATGGGGGAGACAGGGGGAAGCTCCCTACCAGCTGCTTTCCATAAGCTTCAGGAGCACCAATGCCATATGGAAGGGCTAAACACTGCTGCTGAATCGGGGGGACGTGACCACACAGCCCAGCTGGCCGCCAGCGCCAGCTTGCACGTCACCTGGCAGCAAAGCAGGGACCCCAAGGCACCTCCACAAGGCACGGCACCCTGCAGAGCGGTACCCCGGGGCACAGCCCCGAGCAACGCACCTTGAACAGGTAGAAGTACACTTGCTTGGTGTCCGTGTCCTCCTCTTTGTGGACCGACATGAAGAGGTTTTCCACGTCCACCACCATGCCCAGCAGCCGGTTGATCTCCTCCTCTGAGACGTTCTCCAGGTGGGACACATGGTCGGCTGCGGGGCCGCAGCGAAAGGCCGGCGGGTCAGCACCGGCGGCCGCGCGCAGCCACCCCATCGCCCCGCTCCCCCACCCCTGCCCCGGGCTTACCCAGGGCGTGCCCGCAGCTCCGGCAGGGCTCGCTCAGGGTGGCCACGGGGTG